TCTCAATCAACAATGACAACCATAACCACACCCTAATTCAAATGATTGTTTATAAAAAAAACAGCCTCATTCATTGAGATTTAGTTTAGCCTACAAACAAAAACAAGAGATAAGTAAATGTACACATACATATGTATTCATAGACGATTGAGACAGAAAACAAATACTAGACTATCTGAAAAAAGACAGTAAAGAGAGAAAATTTACTTATTTAAGACGATCATTCCGGCCATCGGAAACGGCATCTTGAGAATGTAGATGCAGGTATGAGTATTATACCCATCATATCCTCACACCCATACCCACTCTCTATGATCATAAAAGAAAATTTTCATGAATTGGTGCAACTCTTTTTACCAATGTGTTTTCGATCTTAGCGAGTTTGAAAGAAATCGTGCAAAAAATCAATATTTACTCGATTTAATCTGAAAAAAGGATGAAAAAAGAGGAATAGAACAAATTTATAAAATATCATTTTAAATATCTAACTTATAATTGTACGTCGGTTACATTACGTATCGACATGATTAACAGGTTAAAAAAATCTGAAACAACATAAGAGTAGATAAATGATGAAACCAAACAAAAGAGCCTTCATGTCAATCGACATAACAAGAAAAGCAGAATAATGAATAGTACATTACTGGATATAGGAAATAAAGAAAATACATGAACAAACTAAAAATGAAATCATGAATTCTTTCACCATCCTTGATGAAAAAATATAATAGTTTATAAGTTTTCAAAGCCTGATCTTACGAATATTTTTCCGGTTGTGTGTGTGTAGGTGTGAGTTGGTGTGGGGGATACAAGTAGATGTGGATTTGAGATAGAAAGAATAGACACCCACACTCACACCCTTCTTCATTTATAGCCACGATGATCATTTTGACCATCGAAAACGACGTCTTAAACGCCTAAAATGATTATAAAATAATGTGTTATTTCATTAATTCTCATCGTATTTCGCCGTAATCCGTCAGCCTCGAAAAGTAGCCGTTTTTTTACTAGAAAGCGGCCACCGTTCTACACATTATTTTTACTATTTTCTAGGATGCCGGATTACAGCATCGAGAATTACCGGTTCTTGTCGTTTTATACTAGTTTTATATCGTG